TGCTTTCCCCTGCAGAGAGGGCTCCCCAGCCAGGCGGGACTTGCAGCCAAAGGCAACGACTCCCTGACTCCTCAGGGCTTCACAAATAGATTATCTGAGCTGTGAATGAGTCTTTGGGACTGGGGATAAGAAACAGCTAGAGTTAAGCAAATTATTTAAAAAATCAGTATTTTGTGATTTTTAAAAGTTCAGAAGAATGAAAAAAAATTGGGTTTTTCAGGGTTGATAAAATTTTATGAGAAGTTAGTTACTGATCCCCATATTTTGTCAGATCTTCCTTCTAAAATGTTTTTGAGGCAGCTTACCTAAATCCATAAACACAGCAAATGGAAAATGGCATTAAAGTACGTGAAGTAACATGAAAGTAGGTCAGGGAACGGGAGAAGATGGCAGAAAAGATAAAAGTGAGTCTGAAGTGTAGTCAGCAGCCCTCCCACCAGCTGTCCAGACCCAAGTCCTTGCTCCTGTGAGCCGTGAAGCTGGCACCCGTGGGCCCCCTTGCTGTCCCCCCTGCTCATGGGATCGGGGAGCAGCGGGGCTGCCTGCCTGGGGAGAGGCAGGCTTTCCCTGGAGGTGGGGGCCCAGGACCCGGACAGCAGGAGATGGACCATCCCCCGCTTCATCACTCTGGGCTCAGGACGGACCCGCCCTCTCTGGAAAGGCTGCTTTTGCTGACTGGGGGGAAACCAGCCACGTGTTCTCCCAGCACAGCGCACCTCCAATCCTTCCCTTGGAGGACTGGGTGCAGGTGGGGGCCGGAGGGAAGCCCCTGCTCTGTCCCAGGCTGGGGAGCCGCTCTCCTCCTCCCCTGCCAGCTGCAGGCCCCCGGGGGCTCTGGGCCAAACAAGCGGGAAGGCCTCTTGAGCTGTGGTTTTCCCGGGATCTCAGTGGTGTCCTGCCAAAAGCCTGCAATGGTCAGAGCTGTCACAGAGCGGCAGCTGAGACCCTGTGGGAAAAGCTGCCCTGTCTGAGCCCAGGGCAGAACCTTCTCAGTAGCCACTGCCGCCTGGGGTCGGTCACAGCCCTGCCGCCAGCCACGCCATTAGGCAGCTCCTGGGGACATCGAGAAAAACCTGAAACATCAAAAATTGCCACACTCACCATGTAATAAAAAACCTTAAGGGTTAGCACACTTTGATAACCACACGTGAATTAAGCTTCCTAGTCTCCTAGACGGAGAAGCTTTATAGGATTCGCCCAGAGCTCATGAGAGTTTTCCCCATCAGCCCCTGGGCCACCTGCCGACTCACGGCCCAGATGCAGGGCCTGTGGCCCACCAGGGTTCTGGAATGATCGGCCCTTTTGCCTTTCATCCCAGAACAGGCTCTGTTCTAGATGAGGACATCCAGGCCCTCTCAGCACCTATGTCTTGTGGTTTACAAATGGCGTTTTTCCATTTGCTGATGAAGTTCAAGCATTCAGTGTCAAATTCCTGACTTTTAACAGGATGTTTGCGTGAATGAATACTTCTTTATTATTTGTGAGTCTAGCAGTGGTTGTGAGCATTGTGTGTTCACGTGTGTATTAAGTGTCTTATCGGGTGTGTTGGCGGGGCCCCATCTCACCCCCCGTTCCCTACATAACTCTGTAGCTCCTTAGCTCTGGGGAGGTGCTGGCTGACCCACAAGGCCCAAAACCCATGGGGGAATCAGGAGCGCTTGTCTCTGGAGGGACCAGTTCTCCACGGCCAGAAAGCCAGCCTGGGAATCTGGCTTGTCCCATGCAGGCCTCCATGGGGAGGTCATACATCCTCACCCGACAGAGGCCTGGCCCGGCATGGTTGTGCTGGGGCAGCTTGCAACGCTTCCCAGTCATCAGTCCTTCCCTCACCCCCCTGCCCCCGACCACCACCACCACCTTCACCATTCCCGTGTGTCTGTGTGTCCTGCCCTTGGGAACAGTTTCAAATGTTTTCTTAAAAATCCTGATTCAGGAAAACTCTTCCTGATATGTGTATGTTCTCCTGCCTGGGGCATGTAAGGTTCAGGTGGTTTCCTGCTGATACAAATAGCAGTGGAAACAGTGCATCAGTGTCCTGAGATGGGACCCTCTGGTTGGGTTTTGTTCTCTTAGAACCGCCAGAATTGGAGCCTGGGGCTCTGGTGAGGAAAGGGTAGGACAGGAATGGTAAATAACGGTGAGCAAGTAAAGTTGATGCTGTTGTCTGCATTTTGTTTGACAGTTTGACTTGACAGTTTGAGAGAAACTTCAGAGTTTCACTGTGTACCCCGCTGAGGCTCTGGGGACCCTGGAGCAGCATTCTGGTATTCACCGTGCTGTGCTTCCTCAGAGCGGCCTCTAATTCTCAGCCCCTCTTATCTGCATGCTTCTCTCAGACCCTGACAGCAGCGTCCAGCTCTCAGCTTCTCATGGGTGCAGGTCTCCTGTACCTACTGACACCCATTTTGGCCAAACACACCTGTGAAAACTTTACTTAAAACTCTTCACCTTGCCACATCACCTTGCTTCCCAGACCAAAAGCTGGTGAGGGCACAGGAGGAGGGCCCCAGTCATTCTCCTGCTGAAGATTATCTTTCACTGAGGTGCAAATACGTATCTTTCAGTGGATGACAGCGTAAGATGGGAGCCTTTGGGAAGGCTTTGGTTCTTTCTCCAAGTACATTTGCAAGGAGGCCCTATCCTCGGTAAGACAGTGTGCAGTCAGCTAGGCTTTGGGATAGGAGAATCCTAGAGGATAGGGTTTTGGTTTAAGTTGGGCCTGTGGTTTCCGATTGCACTTGCATTTGCTCTGACTTGTCCTGAGAGGCTTAAGGAAAGACCCTGCACCTGCAGAGCGGCTCAGGGCCTCGCCCAGAAGAGGCCATCTCGTGGTGGAAAAGAGAATTAATGATGAGAAACCCCTTGTGGCTGCATTTTGTAGCCTCGTAGCTGACTGGAGAAAGGATGGATTCAAAAGGAGTGCTTCCTTACTCGGGGGACTGTGCTCCTTTCAGGGGGACGTTGGGAAGGACTGGGGCTTAATTTAAGTTAGACAAAACTGTTTCGACTGTGTTGCTTCTGTTGAAAGTAAGTCCAGTTTCTGTCCCCGCTTCTCTCCTCCCTCCCCGCGCCTCTCCCGCTGCCTGCATTGCTTCCCTCTGGCTAGGTCCAAGGCGATGGTATGTACTAACCGCACTGCTCTGCTTCCTCCTGCTGCACACATTCATGCTCTTGCCGGGAACAGAAGAGGAGAAATAACCATTGGGATGGTGGTGTCTTCGGCCCAGGGGACGCTTTTGGGTGGAAAACGGCGGAAGAAGCCTCTCTGCGCTTTCCGAGTTTTCCCTGAGGGGGTGGCCTGGCCTCTGCTCAGACTCAGTGCTTGGAAGCTTGTTAAGGCGCAGGGCTGAGTTTCTGATTTGGCTTTTCCCCAGTTACCTCTTCTCCAGGAAACAGAAAGTGCCCTTGGCAATCACTGAGTGTTCAGGAAGGGCCTGTGGAGAACACCTGCCTTCCAGTCTGCACCAAGGGCCCCGCAGGCAGCCGCCCAAGGTCTAGGAAGCCCCATTTGTTCATACTTTCTCCAGGCACTTTTTCCCCTCCTGGAGTCCTGGAAGACTCTTTCCCCATCAAGGTGGTTAGATGACAAGGAAAGGACTTCTGGTCCACATGCCTTTCAGCTAAAGGTGCTAAGAACTGAAAGAGCCCCGTGTTTGGAAAACGCAGTGAGAGGGTGCCTGGCCTGGCCTCCCTGGCCGAGCAGCAGTCACACCCGGTCAGAGGAGGAGGCAGGCAGGCCAGTCCACCTCCAGGCTAGGGTCAGAGGGCAGGGAACATCTGTGCCCCTGGAGCAGGGGAAAGTGAGCGTGCTAGTCGCTCAGTCATTTCCTACTCTTCGTGATCCCATGATCTGTCGCCCACTAGGCTCCTCCATCCATGGAATTCTCCAGGCAATAACACTGGAGTAGGCTGCAATGCTCTTCTCCTGGGGATCTTCCCTACCCAGGGATTGAACCCTGGTCTCCTGCATTACAGGCAGATTTTTTTTTAACCCTCTGAGCCACCAGGGGGAGCAGGTCACAACCCTTGGGGGTGTGAAGACACCCCCCAGGAAGAGAAGGCCAGGAAGGAGCTGCTGGAGGGTGGAAAGATGGGTGATGTTACACCCTGCATTCCCAGGCTTTTCGTAGATTGCCTGCCGCCAGCGCGGCGGTGGTTTCGGGGCGGGGTGGGGGTTAGGTATTACAGATGACATGACTTAACCTTTCCAATCTCCCGATGGGGAACCTTCTTTAGAGAAGTTAGCAGTCAGGTGCCTTGCATTCCCGTGCAGTTTGCTTCTTGTCCAGGACGCTTCTGGGCTCAGATCCCAGAGGCCCCGGCTGGGGCCGTAGGAGCAGAGGCTGCGGTGAGCGATGGAGGGATGGAGGGACTGTTGGGCCGGCCTGGGGGTGCCGTTGGGCCGCGGGCGTTACTTCTCCTCTCCTGCTCCCGGCCTGCATGCTCGGCGCGCCCCGATTGCTCGCGGTGCCGGGCGCAGGCGGCGGACTCACGTGTCTTCCGTCTCCTGCTCTCTCCCCAGAACACGGCTCTAGATAAGGAGGGCCAGATCTTCGGCAGCAAGCTTGGCGCCGACGGCGGCCGACCCGGCCCGGAGCCCGCCGCCCCGGAGCCCGCCGCGCCCCCGGAGCCGCCCCCGCACCCCGGCCCTCCCGCCCCCGCCCCGGGCAGCGAGCGGGCGGGGACCTGGCGCCGTCACCGCGACTGACCCGCTGCCGGGCGCAGCTCCGCACACCGCCCGGCCGGGCGCCTTCGGGGCCTGGAGGTGCCGTCAGCGTCGGCTTCGGGGACGGCCCTCGGAGCGGCGGCTTTAAATGTTCCGTCTTTCCAGTTCAGTGGACGTTGGATGGCATCGCCAGGAGACTGTGCAACTTCGATCAGGCATCCAGCGCATTTTTATGGAAACGCTCCGGATGAACCAAGGCCTCTATTTGAGTAAACTCGGAGGGCTCCTTTTTTCTCTCTTTCAAACAGCGCAGAGCTGTGTCTGATTCGTGGGCATGCTTCCTCTGCTGCCGGGGCTCGGGGCTGGCTTCCAGCGGAAGTCCTGGGCCCCCGGTGGGCCGCCTGGTGCCCGCGCTCAGCCCACTTCGGGGTCTCGCACGTGCGGGGCGCGGGGCTCACGTAAGAGGACCCCGGGTCTGGACTTATGCTCAGGCCCCCGGAAAGGCCGCTGCTGCCTCCACGACGTGCGTTTCCTCAGCTCTTCCCACATCTGTATCGGCAGATGCCCGGGACGTTGTCCTTGGGGCCTTCTGAGGAGAGGCGGGTGCATGCGCGTCGCCGGCGGGGCTTCCTTCTCCAGGTCCGACTGCGGGCACAGCAGGACCGACGCGATCCCTGGAGCCCCCCAGTCTCCCTGCTCCATCGCTGCTCAGCGGCGGCGGGACAGCCCCAGGACGCGCGGGCACGGTCGGACTGGCCGGAAGGTGCCTGCAGACGGCCCCTGTTACTAACCTTCTGGAAGGCTGCTGGCAGTTTTTCCTTTTTTCCACCACCCTGCTGTTTTTAATGATTGTACATAATCAGTGTATTTGTTTTCCCTGCTCATCTTCTAAACGGGTGAGCCTGTAGCTCCTTGTCACTGTTAGACTTTTGCCCCCTACAAGTGTATCCAATAAACTCTTCCTTCTTGAGAAGTAGTGGTCAGGGTGGGCAGAGGTTCCTGTGTGGCTGTTTGCATTGCAGAGCGTGTGGTCAGAGCGACAGCCCCCAGGGCCAGGTTCTGGAAGGCACCGGTGTTTGCTTCTGTGTTGGGGACAGGACTGGGAGGAGAGGTGCCTGGGGAGAACACGTGGAGAGCTTGGATGCAGGTGTATTTGATTACAGGTGCAAAGCGCACGGCACAGGCTCCAAAGCCAGCAGGGCTTATCAGTGTACAGCCAGGACTCATGGAACCAGCGGCCGGAAGGTCAGGCTTTCCAGGAAACGGGGAGTCAGCCCGCCATTCCTGTCTCTCTGTGTCTCTCTTTCAGAGACTGTGCCATCTCTCGTCTCCGCTTTTTTCAGTGTATTTGGTCCTTGACTTCTGTTCTCTGATGACAGCTACTTGCTTGGTCTTAGCCTGGAACTGCTCTGTCCCCAGCCTCTCAAGTCCGAACAGCTCCACGGCTTGAAGTCATCTCTTTCGGCTCTGGATCTCTTCGTCCCCATTGCTGTGTGATGATTTCTCCCTGGGCTGAGCCAAACCAGAGGCGGGTGACAGAATGCAGACGGGCCTCCTGAGTGTACGGTGTTGGGGGATGCAGGCTTCAAGAGAAGGGTGGTGATGGGCAGGTCCAGAACATTCTGTCACTTTCCTCACTAGTTAAAGAGCGAGATTTTTTTTTTTTAATAGCTTCTATTAGAAAAATGTTAACAAAAGTGAAGAGGGACTTCCCAGGTGGTAAAGACTCTGCCTGTCAATGCAGGAGACACAAGTTCGATCCTTGGGTTGGGAAGATTGCCTGGAGTTGGAAATGGCAATCCACTCCGGTGTTCTTGCCTGAAAAATCCCATGGACAAGAGCCTGGCGGGCCACAGTCCATGGGGCAGCAGAGAGTCAGACACGGCTGGGTGAGCACGCAGTGAAAGCAGAGAGCTAATGTAACAGAGGAGAACAATGAAAATGGAAGGCTGATGGAGCGAGGCTGTTAGTGCCGGAAACGACCCCATTGCTTGAACTGTGAGGTTCAAAGACATTTGCCAAAGACTTAAAGTAAGTGGCCAGGGCAGCGCCAGGCGCGGGCGAGAGGACGAACCCCTCTGTCCACGTGTCCCTGCTCTCTTGCCACACTCGATGGGCTGCGGACAGGCCTGAGTCCAGGGTGGAGGGACGGCCTCGCGTGACTGAGCAGCTCTTCAGTACACACCTTCACCCCACAAACACCCCGAGCGGTGCGTGGTGCTGAAGGAACGGGCCTAGAAGCGGGGTGTCCCACCGGGGTCACAGGCCTGGCCGGAGGCAGAGCCACGGCGTGGTGAGTGAAGGCCTGGTGCCCGCGGCCGAGCAAGGGCTCCGCCGGCTCAAGCCTTTGCCCACGTGCAGCAGACGTTTACTGAGCTCTTCTGGTCTCAGGATCCAAACTAAATGCGGCTGCCCAACTGTTGGGTTCCTCCGCTCCTGCACAGTGAGAGAGGCGTGGGCTTGGGCTATAGTCATCCCCTTATTCCAGCAGGGGCATCTTGGCTACGGAAGGGAAAGCAAGGGAAGTGGTGACCTGCTGATGCCCCTGGGGGCGCCAGCTGGGCTCAGCCACGGGCAAGCCTGAGTCTGCCTCTCTCCCTGGGTCAGGAGGATCCCCTGGAGGAGGGAATGGCACCTCACTCTAGTCTTCTTGCTTGGAGAATTCCATGGACAGAGGAGGTTGGCAGGCTGCAGCCCATGGGGTTGCAGAGAGACAGGCCTAAGTGATTAACACTTTTACTTTGTTCAGAAAGGTTGCCACGAGATGAAAGTACATGGAATATATGGATTGGAAGCATTTGGCATCACTCGCCCCAGAATACCTGCATGAATAAGGTTGTGAAATGTGAATCGGGAGACAGTGAGGACAGACCCAAACAGATAAACCACAGTGGAAGAGAGAGTGCTGGGTAGTGATGCTGTCTCGGATGAGGACCTCCAGAGCAGTTTGCCATGCAGTGAAAATACAATGTAAGCCACATCATATATCTGATACCACATTAAAAAAAAAGTAAAAAGGAACAGGTGAAATTAATTTTATAGCATAGTTTATTTAGCCAAATATATCTAAATATATCTCAAGTATTATTTCAACATGTAATCAACAGAAAATCATTGGGACATTTTCCCGTGTTTCTTTGTACTAAGTCTTTGAAGCCTGGTGTGTACGGGCACGGGCAGCACATTCTAGGCTGGACCACACACGTTTCAAGCATTTAACAGCCTCGGGCCCCTCCACCTGCCTCACCGGACAGTGAGCTCTACAGAAGGGCCAGGGCGCTCAGTTTTCTTGTTTAGTTTTGCCTACAATGAAGAAAGACTCCTTATTCACTGTTCTAAATTTTTTTTATTGGCGTATGGTTCCTTTACAAGGTTAAGTTTCTGCTGTACAACAAGATGAATCAGCTGGTAGGTAGCCGTACATCCGCTCCCTCGGGAGCCACCCCCCTCCAGGTCGTCCCAGACTCTGCGCTGGGCTGCCTGTGCTGCACGCAAGCTTCCCGCCGGCCAGCTGTTTGCTGGATGGCAGGGTATGCATATCAGAGCTGCAAGCTCAAATTACCCGGCCTCCCCGGCCTCCTGCAGTGTCTGTCCATTTGTCCACTCTCTGCATCTGCGTCTCTATTTCTGTCCTGCAGATAAGTTATTCTACCATTTTTCTAGAGTCCGTATATATGCCTTAATATATATATTCTTTTCTCTTTCTGACTTACTTCACTTTGTATGACTCTCTAGGTCCATCCGCATCACTACAGTTACTCAATTTTATTACTTTTGGTGGCTGAGTAATACTCCATTGTATCATGTATCTGTTCTGGGTTGCTTCCCTGTCCTCACTATTGTGAATAGTGCTGGCGTGTAAGGTACACACGTCTTTTTGATTGTGGTTTTCTCAGGATTTATGCCCAGTAGTGGGATTGCTGGTTCTATTTTTAGTTTTTTAAGGGACCTCCACACTGTTCTCCATAGTGGCTATATCAATTTACATTCTTACCAACTGTGCAAGAGTGTTCCCTTTTTTCCACACACACTCTAGCTTTTGTTTATAGATTTTTTGATGATGGCCATTCTGACTGGTGTGAAGTGATACCTCATTGTAGTTTTGATTTGCATTTCTCTAACAATTAGTGATACTGAGCATTTTTCCATGTGTTTCTTGGCCATCTGTATGTACTCTTTGGAGAGATTTCTATTTAGGTCTTCTGTCCATTTTTTGATTGGGTTCTGTGTGTGTGTGTTTTTAATATTGAGGTGCTTGTATATTTCGGGGGTTAACTTAGTTACTTCATTTGCAAATATTTTCTCCCATTATGAGAGTTTTCTTTTTGTCTTGTTTATGGTTCCTTTGATGTGTAAAAATTCTTAAGTTAAATTAGGTCCCATTTGTTTATTTTTGTTCTTATTTTCATTACTCTAGGAGGTGGGTCAAAAAGGATCTTGCTGCGATTTATGTCGAAGAATGTTCTGCCTGTGTTTTCCTGTAGGAGTTTTTATAGTGTGTGGCCTTACATTTAGGTCTTTAATCCATTTTGAGTTTATTTTTGTGTATGGTGTTAAGAAGTGTTCTAACTTCATTCTCTTCCATGGAGCGGTCCTGTTTTCCCAGCACCACTTATTGAAGAGGCTGTCCTTTCTCCACCATATATTCTTGCCTCCTTTATCCAAGATAAGGTGCCTGTATGTGTGGGCTTATCTGCTGTTTTAAACGGGATGGATTGATTTCAGGTGACCTCAGCAGGGGAGGGCACTGATCCAAACCTGCGGTGTGAACTCGGAGCCTGAAGTCCTGTAGAGGGAGTGGCCAAAGCCTTGGCGGTCACTGCTGCACAGAAAAAAACCCGGGGGGGCAGAAGTTGCACTGAGCACCAAGTCGTTAGGCGCCAGCAGAACCGCGTCAGTGTTCGCCTAAGTGGAAGCCACGTCCTGAGAAGCCTGTGCGGGTCTCGGGCAGGGCTCCGTGCTGGGTGTGTGGTGCCGAGGAAGCAAGCGCTGCCGCAAGGAAGGCAGGCGGGTGGCGGAGATTTAAAGCCCTGGCAGCCAAGGACTGGTGGGAAGGCGGGCAGGTGTCGCCTAGACGAGCCAGAGGGCCCCCGCTCGCTGTGCTCCTTCACCGAGAGCTGCTCTGCGGCAGGGGGTGCAGACGTCTGTGGGGTGCTCGGGGTGTGGCCCGGGGCCAGTGGGTTGGCGGCCTGGCGGGCCAGTGAAAGGGCTGGCTGCTTTCTCGGGGCGGTTGTCTAGCTGCTGGAAATGCCTAGGTGCTAAGTGGCAGCAGAAGTTCACAGTTTACAGAGTAGCTTATCCTGCCTCGTTTGAGCCTCGTCACAGCCCTGAGAGCGCCGCTCACTTCCCTCTTCAGCAGATGGGGCGACTCGGGTGGGCTCCCAGGGCCCAGAACCGGGAGAGGCCTCCCCAGACCCCGGGGCGGGTGTCCTGTGTCTGCTCTGCCCCTCCAGGCGGCTAGGGATGCCTCCGGGGGAGCGTCTGTATCCTGAGGCGGAGGCGGGACCGGCTGGGGAACACCCCTGACAAAGGGGTGGAAAACCCAGGCATCTAAGGTCCCCTGGAGGAGGCCACAGCAGCCCACTCCAGTACTGTCTCCTGGAGAATTCCCCCGGCAGTGGAGCCTGGCGGGCTGCAGTCCATGGGGTCGCAGAGTCAGGCGCAAGTGAAGCGACCAAGCATGCAAGAAGCATGTGCGGTCTGTTAGATGAGGGAGGACAGTTTCTCCGGAGGGAGGCTGATGTGTGCAGCTCTGGTGAGTCCCAGGCAGCGGATTTCAGGGGGCTGTTTCACGATAAAACCCACAGCCTCGAACTCAGTGGGGCTAGGTCACCATCATCAGGCCCTGAGGGGAAGGAAAGGGTGTCTGGTATAGAGACCGTACGAAGCCTCCTTCACTTTGGGCGGAGCTGGCAGCATGGCCTCGGTGCAGTCAGGAGGGTTTCAGCCGGAGTCGGAGGCAGGTGAGGCTGGGCACCTGCCCGAGGTCAAGGCTGGGGAGCATCTCAGCTGATCCAAGTCCGAAGCCGCAGCACAGCTGCACACGGAACTGGTTTGGTGAGGAAACTCACTCCTGGACCTGCGACAGGAAAAGAACTCGCCGCGTGCTTCTGCCACCTGACGGCTGAGGTCTCGGGATTCAGAGGAACACTTGTAGGCGGCCTGCGCCCCTTGCCTGCAGGTCAGCCCACCCTGTTCATGCGAGAGAAGGATGTGACGCCCCGATCGAGCGGTCTGCCTTCCCGGCTCCGCGCGGCAGGGCAGGGACTCATGTCTCCGGTGCCATTCATTGCCACCTCGGGCTTTTATATAGTGATCCTGTGATTGGGACACCCAGGACTCTACTTTTCATCATGGACTCTACTTTTCAGGTCTATTTAAAAGAAAGATCCAAGAGATGTTGCCCCCACTCATCTGAGAGGGAATAGAAGAGACAGGATTTTGTTTTTGATTTGCTGTTTTATGGCCTTTTCCATCCTCCTCGATCGTCCCTTGCAGTGACAAGTTGCGATGCCTACAGGATTAACGTCATTTATGTTACAACAGAGAGGCAGCGAGGCTGACCACTGTCCTAGTCGAAGCAGAACACGCATTCCCTCCCCCGTGATGGGGCAGAAATAGCCAGGTGGAGGCCCCGGGGTATTGGGCCGTATGCGAGGTGTGTGCGGATTCTGACGTCACGTGCGCCTCCTGTGTGCGGCTGCGCGTGCACTCTGGCCTAACGTGACGTCGCGTGGAGACGTGGCGCCGCTCCTCCGTCACCCGGCGACGGCAGAGGGGGGCCGTGCCTGACCACCCAGCTCAGCGCGGGACCCCCGCGGTGTGCAGACTCGGGGTGTGGAGAAGCCTGTGGGCGCGGCAGGGAGGGGCCGGGCGGGGCCGATGCAGGAAGGAGACCGCAACCGGGTCAGAGCTCTCGTCCTAGCTGGGAAAGACACAGCAAAGGTCCCCAGTGAAACTCCTGTCGAAGTCCTGTCCTGGTGGGTCTAAAATGTGTGACATTTGTTTTTAAAAAATATTTATACATTTATGTGACTGGGCTGGATCTTAGTTTCGGCATGTGGGATCTAGTTCCCTGACCAGGGATTGAACTGGGCCCCCTGCATTGGAAGCGTGGGATCTTAACCACTGGGCCACCAGAAAAGCCCTTTAACTTCAATCATGTTTGTGGAAAAGGGTGCAGAGTGGACGTGCGGTCTGGCTGCGTCCGGATTCCCCGGCCATCTGCCAACCCGACCCCCGTGGCCTTTGTCGTCTCACGGCCCCTCTGACGCGGAGGGGGCGCGGGGGCCGCACACACGGCCTCGGGTGCGGGCAGGCTCCTGGCAGGCGCCGTTCTCCCCGCTGAATGGGAGTGGGCAGCCTGGGGAGGAAACGCCCAACCTCCGGCCCTGCTTCCCGCGGCTCCCAGGGAGGGGGCCGTCCCGCATGCCAGCAAGCAGAACTGAAGGATGGGGATATTTCAGAGTAGAATGTTCCTTTTCCGTGGACTGGCTGACTGGAACGTGTATCTGTGGATGCTGGGTGCAGTGTGGGAACAAGCTTCTCCCGAGGGTATGGTTTACCCCTTCGTATTGGTGCGCCTGTCAGGCTGCTGTTGGCTCTGCTCCAAGCCCCAGGCCGCCTCCTGGAGGCGAGCGCTCCTTCCTAAGCTACAGAGCCTCGAGGACTTAATGGACGATGCCTCAGTCAGGATCCCCAGCGTTGGTGAGAAAAACCGCTCTCCTCCGAGGCAGGGCAACTTCACGTACGGCACGCTCGGCTGCCCAAAGCACCTGTTTTGACCTTTTTTCATGAAAGGTTTACATTTATTTGAAGTAATTTAAAAAAAATTATTGGAGTAGAGCTGCTTTATAATATCGTGTTAGTTTCTGATGTACAGCAGACTGCATCAACTGTATGTTTACATTTACCCCCTTTTTGGATTTCTTCCCCACTTAGGTCACCACAGAGCGAGGAGTCCCGTGCGGTACAGTCGGTTCTTAGTGATCTATTTCAGAGATGGTATAAGGTGCTTTATATGTGCGTAGTTTATATACCTCAGTCCCGATCTCCTGATTCATCCCACCCCCGTCTTCCTCCCTCGGTGTCCATGTTTGTTCCCTACATCTGTCACTATTTCTACTTTGCACGTAAGATCATCTACCAGTTTTTCAGATTCCACATGTGTGTGTTAATATACACTGTTTTTCTGACTGACTTCATTCTGTATAAGTCTCTAGTCTACCCACATCTCTACAAATGACCCAGTTTTGCTCCTTTTTATGACTAATATTCCACTGTATATACTTTCCACACCTCCTGTATCCATTCTTCTGTTGATGGACCTAGATGTAATTTTTTAAAGGAGTGAAAACTGGATAAATAAGTGAATGTGGAGTAAATCCTAACACATGCTGTACTAAACAGATTCTGTTGCTGAGAAGCCCTGTGTTGATGCCAGCTGAGTTCGTTTTATGAGTACGTCTAGTTGACCCTCCACAGCGATAAGTTCTGCGTCTGTGCTCAGCGGAAGCTCTGGGTGCAAGGAGCAGCTGAGGTGGTGTGTTGACGCCAGCTGTTAAGTATTGTGTTTCAGTGGATTCTCCATAGTCCTAAGTTTCGAAACAATAGAGGCAGTGCAGGCACTGATTGTCGTCTTAGGCACCAAAAGGAAGCTGCTTCAGACTTGGCAACATGGACTGAAGTATCAGATGCCTGGTATGTGACTTAGAGATTCCTGTTCCTTCGGCCACTTTGCATGAAGCTCCCAAAGTATGACATCACAGGTGATACTGTGAGGCTATCCCTCGAGCAGTAACTCACGTATGTCTTTGACTTGGAGATGTACTTCCCCCCCTCCCACATTTCACCATCTATTGTTTTGTTAGTAGTTTGTAAAACAACTGTAACTGTGGATGTGAGACGGAACAGCGTATACAATTCTTGGTTTTTTTGTTAGATAAAGGTCTAGTGTTCTCATGTAGTTCAGAGGGAGCTCTCTGGCCAGAGAGAGGCCCATTTTTCCTGTTTTCATTCAAGAGAATTTCTCTCCTATTGGTTATTGTTTAAAAACTGAATGAACCAAAGTTTAACTTTTTCTTTGAGGATAACTGTATTATCATTGTTTCAAAATTTGAAGTGGAATTGCTAGAAGCTGACACAGTTCTAGGTACCTAGTATAAGCATGTTGTGCTGGGAAAAACAGGGTCTGGTTTAAATTCCGGCTTAGTGTTAATACTGAGCTGTCTAGATCTAAATCTAAGCCAAGTGTATTAGTGTCACTAAATCTTTTAATTTTCTCAACTATAAGCATACTGTTATTTTGATGATTACATGGACTAAAGTACTTGTTCTAGAAAAAAAGTAAAAATATTTCCAACAATTCAATTACAAATACATTTTATTTTTCTGTCAAACTCAGTTGTTCCATTCCTAATTTTTGCTTTTAGAAAAGAGCTGAATGTGTAGGAAAAAGGTGTATGTGTGCTAAGTTGCTTCAGTCGTGTCCAACTCTCTGTGACCCCATGGACTCTAGCCCACTAGGCTCATCTGTCCATGGGAGTCTCCAGGCAAGAATATTGGAGTTAGCTGCCATGCCCTCCTCCAGGGCATCTTCCCAACCCAGAAATCAAAGGTAGCCTCTACCTGCACTGGCAGGCGGGTTCCTTACCACTAGCACCATCTGGGAAGCCCAGAAGAAAAGGAGGTCACCCCTTTTAGGTAAGTTGCAAGAGAAATAGAGATGGAATGTCAGTTTCAACTCAGAGTTCTCAACTTATAAAGAATTTATTTATGCAATACAGATCTTTTCTCAGATATTTTTCACAGAATTCCACACAGCAATCGACTAGAAAAGTAGAAGTCTACAACACCAAAATAACATTTTCATAGTACAAATTGCTAATCAAAAGGAAGGGGAAGATTGTTTAATAACAAATAGAAGGTAAAACAAGGGTTGCTTCACACAGCACCCAGTAGCCGCTGCTCTTACACCTGGGGTGGGGGAGCCCCAACAGAGTTCAGCCTCAGTATGTGGGCACCCTCGGGGTGAGCTTTGGTACTTACTTTAAAAGAAAAACAAGGTGCTGAGCCCAAGAACATCTCCCATCATTTCATTCTGGTTTGCTACGAGGACAGATGAGGAAAACACTGCAAATATTTCACACTTGCTAGAATAGATCCTTTGAGATGACCACACAATAAAGTAAGCCTCCCCCAAACCATAATTTTCTAGGTCTAAAACATGCTTGAAAGATAATATTGATAGAAATAATTCATTGAGACGTTTCAAATTACATTTACCATAATTTAAACCTGACTATTTAAATCCCAGAAATTTCCGTGCTGAAGCACTGTTGTTTGGAAGAATACAGAACCCAAAGTACAGCATAAAATTCCCGCATCCCAGGATTATAACCCATTTCCTTATTGTTAAAATCATACATTCTCAAGATTACAGATAAATGGGAAGTGTTTTTTCATATATAACTAGAATAAGTGGGTTTACTCACTCCACTGTATTTCTGTAATTGGTGAAAATAGACTTCTCATTATGACTAAAAATATAGATTTTTTTTTAAAACTACAGAACCCAGCAGCCAGTTTTCTGCTTTGCTATTACCCCCAAAAAAGTCAAGCAAAGTCTACAAAAATAGCAATTAACTTTAAAAAATATTTTGCTTCTTGGAGCACATTTAAGTTACATTCAGACGTGATAGCTGTTCCTAAGAGAAAGCCGCTCAGGGCACGTCCTGCGCTGAGGCTGGGGCGGGCTGGGCCCCGCTGTCCGTCAGCGTCAGTAGCGCGTTTGGTACTCGTGATGCCACCGGTTAAAGTCGTTGTAGAAGAGAACTATGCTTCCTGAGGCCATGCCGGCAATGATGCACCTGGGAGGGGCAGAGAGGAGGCGTTTAAAACCCAGCAGTCTCCCAAGGCTCTGTTACTAAAGAAGGGCCTGCCGCCCCACATCCACACAGTAAATACAGCAGATGGCAGCCAAGCCTACAGTTTGTGAGGTTTGTGGTATGGTTTTTGATAACTAAAATGCAGTCTTGGGTAAGCTCAGAGTCCGACCTCTGTCACTCTGCAAGGGTCCAATCCACAGCTTGCCTTTATATGGAAAGTACAGCCAGTACGTGCAGGATGAGTCAGAAAAACCTGAACAGACTAGTCACTGCTGAGGCAGGGAGGCTGGGCCAGGGAATTTTGTATATGAGGTATCAGAATGAAAATAATAATCTCAAAGCAACTGTTGATGCAGGAAGAAGCACACGGTCAATCACAGAGGCATCTGCCATGTACAAATGGAAGACTAAGAAATCAGTGCTGAGCACAGTTTGGGCCGTGCTCTGCGGAACACGTGCTGTGTCCGTCTGGCTGAGGGTCGCCACCCACTGACATGCTCGCTCTCTGCAGGAGCTGCTGGTGCAGCCAGACAGGCAGTGCAGAGCGGCCTCTCTGGGAGGCAGACGCCCGTTTATTATCTCAGGCCCGTCTCTGGCTAACCTGCTCTGTCTCAGATTTGGTTAGGACAGTCCTTCGAGGTCATCCTTCGTGTCCTTAGTAGTGCCTCATATCAAAATTAGGGACTAAAATGTGTCACAACAAAAACCCAACTAAACAGAAAAGGCGGCAATGAGGGTATGAGGGACAAAAAAGCACTGAGACAGGCAGAAAGCAAAGAATACAACGGCAGGAGTCTTCCCTATCAGTGGTTACTTTACGTGCACGGAGACTAGGTTCTCCAGTCAGAAGGCAGAGACTGGCAAAATGAATGAAGACGTAATCAAACTGCATGCTGTGTACCAGAGACTCACTGATCTAAAGACAAACAGGTTGAAAGGATGGAAAAAGATATTCTATGCAAATAATAATGAAAAGGGAGCTACAGTGGCTATACTAATACCAGACAAAATAAGTTTTAAGTAAAGTTATAAGACACAAGGATACTATAAGCAATGATAAAAGGTGCCAATCCATCAAAAGTATATAGCAATTACAAACATGTATGAACAGCACACTCAAGATGTATAATAGTTGGAAACTTCAATAATGGGTAGAACCACCAAAAAGAAGGAAATAAATAATATTCAATAGTATCTGAACAATATTAAAAACCAATTGGGCCTAAGACATATATAAACATTCACCCAACACATTATGCACACTGGACATTCTCCAAGATAAGCCATATGTTAGAGCACAAAACACTTTAAATACACTTTAAAAAGATTGAAATCATATAAAGTATTTTTCCTAATCACAACAGAATTAAACTAGACAACAATAACAGAAGGAAAATTCTCTAGGGAAATTAGAAAATACCAAGACAAATGAAAACAGAACAAGCCAGAACTTACAGGATGCAGCAAAACCAGTGCTAGAAGGAAGGTTTACAGCTGTAAACACAGATACTTAAAGAAAGAAGTATCTCAATCAGTAACCTAATTCTGCACCTTAAAGAACAAGAAAAAGGTGACAAGTAAACCCAAAGCTAAGAGCAGGAATGAAACAGTAAAAATCAGAATGGGAATAGAAAATAGAAAAATCAGAGTCAAGTTGGTTCTCTGAAAAGGTAAACAAAATCAACAAAATTTTAGACTAAGAAAAAAGACTCGAATTACTAAAAATCATAAAGTGGACACATAACTACCAATTATATAGAAATAGAAGGATGATCAGAATACTAGGAACATCTATATGCCAACAAATAGGATAATCTAGATGAAATGGAAAAATTCTTAGAAACACACATTACTCCACAATTTAATCAGGAAGAGAAAATCTGAATAGACATAGCTAA